GGTCTTTTAAAAAATTGTATTTTTATTGTACAAAGGGGTTACCATTCAAGATGTCAATTTTTAAGTACAATGCATCTTGATCAGTATCACCCCTTTCATCATTCTCCCCTATTCCTCCCAACCCATGCCCTCCAATTTTTCTACTTTTATACACTATGCATTGATTATTATGAGTGCCTTCTCCCCCTTTCATTCCTAGGTGTTTGTTTTTTTTTGTTTTTGTTTTTTTTTTTTACTAATTTTAGTGTTGTCACATGTACTAACTCACATGATCATGTGTTTTTCCATTCTACTAAAGTTGTGTATTTATTAAATTGACTGGTTTTCATTTCAAACCATCTCTATATTCTAGAAATCTTATTTGATGTTACATAATCCTTTGAATGTGCTGTTGAATTTTGTATGCTAATACTTTGTTAAGACATCTGTGTCATGTGTTTAATGGGGACATAAAACTAATTGTAATCGTTTAGGTTTTGTGTCAGAATATTAGACATTCCTTCCTCCTTAATACTTTGAGGACTGTTATTAGCTTTTATTTAGTTATATACAATGGGAGATTTCATTGTTACATTTCCAAGGATTATTCTTTCATTTAAAAAAATGTATAATTCATCAGTGAAGCTGTCTTGTCCAAGGCATTTCTTTGTTGGGGGATTCAATCCCTTTCCTAGTTCTACATCTATTTGGACATTATATGTATTACTTCATAATTCAGTCTTGGTAGGTTTTGTATTTCTAGCAGTTGTTCTATCCAGATATCTAGTTTATGGGTATACAATTGTTCATAGGACTTACAATCTTTTATATTTTTCTTACCCTGGTAATAATGTTCCCTTTTTTATTTCTGGTTTTAGTAGATCCTTTAATTGACCAAGAGTCTACCTGAAGATTTTATTGTTATACCTCTGAAGAACCAAATCTTGGATTTATCTATTTTTGTTGTGAATCCTAATTGTCTCCTGCCATCTTTGAGTGTTTCATAGCATAGAGTTTTCTATTTTAGGGGTGAGGGTACTGGTCAAATACTCAAAGCCTTGAACTTCCCAGGCAAGTGCTATGCTGCTTGAGCCATAGCTCTAGTCAGTTGTTTTTTGGATGTGGTTGTTTTTTAAGATACGTTCTTACTTTTTGCCTTGGCTGGGATGACAAGTGTTCCCTGTTACACCCAACTTTCTATTAGTAGAATTTGGAGGGATGGGGGGTGTTCTTTTTCCTAGGCGGGCCTCAAGCCTAGAAATTCAAACCAAATTTTCCTGATCTCCATTTCCTTAGTTGTGTGAGTGAGCTACCACACATGGCTTCATTTTCTAGGTCCTTACTGTGTAAACTCAGGTTGTTGTAATCTATCACATCTACAAAATCTCCTACCTAGCAATGTATTATTTGTCTCAAAATATTTATATTCTGTGCAGTTTCTTTGACCCACTGGTTAAGATAGTACACTGTTTAATTTGTACATATTCCAGTTTTCATGCTGTTGATTTCTAGTATGAAATGATCATGCTCCATTGTGATCAGAAAACATTCTTTTAAAATTTATTAAGGCCTATAAAATCAGTAGTACTGAAAAAGCCTAGCCTTAAAACAGGAAAGGGGCATCTGCTTTCTCCAAGAGTAAAGAGCAATTTGATTGGCACAAAAGATGATACAGGTTAACCTCTCAGAGGCATTTGGGAAAGTGATATAGAAGATAGAATTGTCTCAAAGCTAGTCCTATCAGCCAATGTAGAAGGGTATACATATGTTAAGCAAGTTAGTCTCCAAATTCAGACTAAGAAAAATGCCACTAGATCCTGCTAGCAGAGATTTCCTTCACCTTTTCACATATGGTTTGGCTTTGTTTTTCAGTACAAATATCTAAAATGTAAAAGTGAGCCTCATGTTAAGATTGAAGGGAAGGAAACTGATGACTGGCTCTGTGTGGATTTTGGTAAGTTACTTTAAAATTGGTGGGTGAATTTTATTTAATAACTCTCAATTAGTCTTAAGTGAAAGGGAAGCTTTACTTGTCTAAAATATTCTAGAAAATATACTCCCGAGGAACACATTGATATTGGTATCTAACCACCTGGGACCAGAAGGTTGAACAGGATGAATATCATGGTTCAGATGGGATAGATCCTTTAATGTAGTAGAAAAAGGAGTATGGTGTGAGGATATGTGTAAGCTTGGCCATAATCTTCCAACACTATATTAAGAATATGAGCAGTTTGAGATTTTATCCTGAGTTGTCCTTCCAGGTTCATAGATACCAGCAGATGACACACGATTATTCTGGAAGTAGAGGACAGATTTTTTTAAGTAGTTCATTCAGTCTTAGAACCCATTTGGCAACAGAGGACCAGCTGAAATATGTACAGAGCGTAATGAGAATAACCTAAGATTAGGGTGCCTTTTATAATTACCAGGAAACAGGACATATTTGCCCCTTGTGGGTAGATACCAACACTAGAAGTTTTTCAGCTTTGTCAACATTAGTATTTTGGATCAGTTCATCTTATGGTCTTGGCAATACCTTGTAGCATGTTGACCAGTATGAGAGTAGTCCCTACAGATTTCTTGTCCCTTAGAACACTGCTGTTTGACAGACTATTTCTGCTAAGACAATAAACCTTGGTAGTACTGACCACGTTTATTTCTGGACTGTTTGTGATATCCATGGAGAATTCTCCCAAGTGGAATCCAACAGATCATTTTCACTTGGGTCAGCAGTGATACATGTTGACATAATTTACCTCTGGATGTATCACTTCTGCAGCTGTTTTGTTTTCTGGGACAGGGTCCACAATTACTTGCCCTTCTAAAAAGTTCCTAGGTAATGTTGATCTTGGAACCACTGTTCCAGTATCCCAGATTCATACTAAATCGAGGTTGTGAAAGCAGAATAAATATGAATTGTTTCTTCACTATAACTCTTGTTTGTCCCTAATAGGCAGCATGGTGATTCATTTGATGCTCCCAGAAACCAGAGAAACCTATGAATTAGAGAAATTATGGACCCTACGTTCTTACGATGATCAATTATCTCAGATAGCACCTGAAACATTACCTGAAGACTTCATTCTTGGAATAGAAGATGATACTTCATCCCTGGCATCAGTGGAATTCAAATGTGAATAAAACTTAGTCACTTCAGACTTGGATTGAGTCACTTATTGGAAAATAGAGGTCCTAAATCTTACCTTCTAAGTTTTGCAGCTAGAACCAGTCTGATTTACCTCATGGGTGGGCACTTATGCCAACTGACACACAGGTACTGTAGATAAATGGCTTAAAGTATTGTCTTTGTCATTGAGATCCGGACAGGAGTTCCTAAATATAAGTGCTGGTTCTTGTGATTGAGTGCTGTTCTCAAATTTACTCTATGTACAGTAACAATATTGCCTCACTCTGAATGCTACTACTTTGAGGTAAGAGGTCAGTAGTAAACACCAGCACATTTGGAGTAAATTCCTGGAAACTATAGTTTATAGGCAATATTGTTCATTATCCTCATTAATGTTTCAGGAGCTGAAGAAAATTGATCAGAAAATGGTGCATATTTTAACACTGCCATATATCATTGTTCAAAATCTGTTCAAGTAGTAGAACATTCACATTCATCTGAAAATAGTACGGAACAAACTAACAATGAAAAATTTTATTCTGCATCAGGGTATCTGGAAAATGAAGCTGCATTTGTGGCACATAGATGAGGAATGATCCATTTATGGTGAGTACAAAACTCAATTATAGAATTATTCTTAGTACCAGATACTCCAAATTACCGGTGCTTAAGTGAAAGTAAAACATGATTTGCCAAACAAAGGCTAGAAGTGAAATATGGCAGAATTTAAACCAGCAGCTATAAATTCAGCACCTATCTGTATTTTTAAAACATCAAATACTGGGTAAAAAAAAAATCAAATATTGAGGAAGAGTTCTGGCCTTAAACACATCTCACTTGAAATCCAACCAAAAAGCAAGTAAGTCCATGATTTTATTTTAGTAATTTAAATTCATTGTTTGGGAAAAAAATGCAAGATGAATTCAATGAAAAGGGCACTTTTTGGCTAAAACTACAAAATAAAATTGTTTTTAGAAAGCATTTAGGAAGACATTTCAAATCATTTTCATATGTCTTATATACTGATCTTCAGAAAATTTACCTAGAGTGTGTAGAAGTTAATCTTGAAATATGAATGAGGAGAAATGATTTTTAAAGGGTTTTATAACGCCCCTCAGATCAGTGTAATGTGATGACTGTGATCATCTTGTGAACAAAAGCAACAGAAAAACAATTTAGAGAGCAGCGTGGCCCTGGAGACCACCCACACATTTGTACATACTGGGCAAAGAATTCTGTATCAACAGTCAGATGTTTTCACAGTCATTCAAATTATATTCACAAAACTGTTCCCTTGCATTCTCTACCTTTTGACTTATTTTCAAATAACTGCTTGCAGGGTATACAGAAGTCCTGCTATATTCTACATAATAGTTTAGGTGAAGTTAAAAAAAATTATCCACTGCTTAAAAATCTTCAAAATACATGACAGTGTCTTCAAACACTGTCACCATCTCTTCACAAAGCAATTCTGGAATCCGTGTATATCACTGGGTCTGAAGTATACTGGCAAGTTAAACATCCTGTAAGACAAGCCCAAGCCCGCACTTTTCCTGTATAAATCCTGCACTTCATCAATGCATATAATGATAGTCAAAAGCACAAAGTATATTTATGCATTCAGTCACACAGCTAAACAAAAATCCTGAAGTCTCTTGAAGCCATTTAAACCAGCTGTTCCAAAGCCTCCTGCCATCACTTTGCCATTAGTATCATCAAAAACTTCCCAACTATAAACAAGAAATACATGGTATGGCTGCTCCCTAAATATAGGCACTGATTGCTCTATATCTTTGAATACTTGTTGGATTTTCCACTCATAGCCTCCAAAAGCCCAAAATTAATTTTCCTACTTTATTGTCACCAGCCAGAAGCAAAATTTCTTTCTCAATTATTTGCCTATTAGCTGATAGAGGTTACTGAATTTTAATTTTTTTTTTAAAAAATGGTTGGACTTAAAGTATATAAAATTTTCAAAAAAGGAACAATTTGCTTTTCACTGTATTACTGTACCTGAGGTAGTTGAGTAAAAATGCACATTTAATTCCCCTGCCAACACCATTTAGCACTTCCCTTAGGTTATTTGTGTTGTTAGTGTTAGATAAAAATGAAATGGTTTTTCTATGCTAATGACTTAACATTTAATTAAGTTCCTGTGGTAATTGGATTTGGATCCAATTTGACAATTGGATTTAGGAGCAATCTACTTTTAATTTATTCATTTGATGAATTTAGTGGCTTCATGATTTAAGCCAATTTCTGGCATTATATAAGGGATATCAAGAAGAATTAGAATATCTGTTATATGTGAGATTACAAAGGGAAGTGCAGAGCTCTTCTCTTTCTCCCCCTCCCCCTTATCTTTTTTAAAGCTGGGTGTCATACATTTCAGAGAGCATAAAAGTATACATTCTCACAGAGACAGGAGTTCAAAAGTTGCCTGGTACTCAGAAACAACTGGCTAGGTAAAAACTTGTGCATGTGGTTCTGGATGGGGTCAGCGCCCGTCTGTTGGTTAAGCAATCTGTCTTTGGTTTGGCATCTGCCTCTGTGGTGGGCTGTTTCCTGAGCCTTTACTTCCTCCTTGATTGAGGTGGTCCACTTTGCAGAGCCTTCTGCTGTTGGTGCTGCTTTACCTGAGTCAGAATTTCCTGAATTTTTCTCTGGGCAACCTAAAAAAAAGACATAGCTCTGAAAAAAAAAAAACCTGCATGATCAAAAGTTTCTAAACTTTTTTAGGGTTTTGGTGGTACTGGAGTTTGATCCCAGAGACTTGTACTTGCTAGGCAGGTGCTCTACCACTAGTCCTGCCCTTCAGCCCTTTTTTGCTTTACTTTTTAGGATGGGGGCTTAACCTTTTTTATCTGTGAGCAGCTCTCAAACCTAAATTGTCTCCTGTGTAAGCCTCCTATAGTTTAGATCACAGGTTTTTGCAAACTTTTTGGCCCAGGCTGGTTTTGAACCAAAGTTCTCCCCATCTCTTCTTAGAGGGGCTAAGGAAGTAAGTTAAGTCTGGCACAGTCACGTGCATTTTTAATCCTACTATTATAGAAAGTGAGGTACTACTTAGGGTTTGTAGAAATTAATCTTGAAATACAAATGAGGAAAAATTATTTTTCAAGGGTTTTACAACACAATTCAGAGAATAGTGTGGCCCTGAAGACTGCCCACACATTGGTACACACTGGGCAAAGAATTCAGTATCAACTGTTTGAATCCAGCAGTTTGGGGCCAGCCTAAGCAACATGTCGAGACCTTACCTCTTTATAATAAAAACACAATGCCCCCCCCCCCCCAAACATTAAATATTTGTAAATATTGCATGGGGCAAGAGCATCCATGCAGAACTGCTTCCATCTGAGGAGCAAAGAGCCCACTTGCCTGGCAAGCGTAGAAGTGACCAGTTATTTTGACAACAACTTGGTCATTTTCATCAGGTGTCTGGTCGCGAGGGACAACAACTTCAGCACTTGACAAATTCTGGAGTTCATTCACCTGAAATGCAAAATCATACTAACGTGGAATAAAACACAACTACTACTAATCCCTCTATACATTCTATTCTCCAGGCTCTATAAATTCCATTGAATCTACTAGCTTAAAGACAATTGTCCCCATTTTAAGACCATTGAAGCTATGGGTTCTTCAATTAAGGCTCATTCCAAAGAAACTGATTTGCCCATTGACACAAGGGATTGGCAAAACAACATTAAATCCTAAAGATTTAGTTGTCCATTTCTTCAAAGTTGCAAATAGTTTTGGAAATGACTTAGAGGCTATGTTAGGTAAAGATGGGAAATCATTTGATTTTTCAGTTAGAGTTTAAAGCCAACAAGACAATGTTGAAAACACTATAAATATGGGACCATCCTCTCACACAAAGCAGTCTGAAATATGTATCAGCTACTTGCTGATGACCAGTGTGGAGAGAGTAATAGGCAGTCTTCTCCAAACCTTGGTCAAGATTGTCCTGATTTTTACAAATTAGCCAAAGTTCAAGGGGAACTCTTCAAGTACTTTTCAATGTTTTCCCTTTCATACCCCCTGGACAGGTTTTGTTGAAGTACTTGCCGTTTTGCCTCCTTTTCCAATAACTCTCCCAGCAGCAAAGGATGGCACTCTGATATGAGCTTCAAGTTTTACCTCTTCTTTAGGACTAACAAAGTTTTCCTCTTTTATTTTCCCATAAATTCTTCCCTGAGCCTACAAATGAGATGTCCATTCAGTGTCACTCATATTTAAAATACAAAGGTCAGTTAACTTAAAGAAGGCCTAAACCCACCTGGAACAACCCTTTGTAGTGATGCATCTATATCTGGAAGGTTGTTGAAAGTTAAGACACAGAATCTAGAAGCGCTGGAAAGGGTGACGATGACTGCATCACAGGAGAGCCAACTCAATGTAGCAAGAAGGCTAAGCCACATTTTTCTGATGAAAACAGCTAAAGGCAAGTAGTAGTCAAACTAGAAAATCATTTTTATAGGCAAATGGCCATTCACACTCCACTCCTAAAAGCAACACACTTCTCTCCTCTGGCAATAAGAACTAACCAGAAGAGGCAAGGAAAGACCTACATAGCCACAATGCCAGGCTCATAAAGAGCCATGCTCTTTTTTTGTTTTGTTTTTGTTACCAAGGTTTGAACTCAACATTTTATATTTTTTGTCTGTTGTGGGGCTTGAACTCTGGGCCTGGGTGCTGTCCTTCAGCTTTTCAGCTCAAGGGGAGCACTCTACCACTTGAGCCACAGTGCCACTTCTGATTTTTTGGTAGTTTATTGGAGAAAGGAGTCTAACGGACTTTCCTGCCTGGGCTGGCTTCAAGCCTAATTGTTTATGCCTACTCTGGCCTAGACTTCAATCCACTTTGTATTTCCTATGTATCAGAGATGTCACCTTTTAAAGTCCAACTGGTATTGAACCAAAGTCTTAAGTCTCCATCTGCTGAGTAGCTAGGATTATAGGTATGAGAGAGCCACCATGACCAACTACATTTTTAAATTTTAGCTGATTTATGCTTTAAAGAAACTACAGAAACAAGTTGACATACAATTCTGATATTCTATCACTCACCTGCTATCTACCACTAATATATAATATACAACCCTTGATTGGCATATTCAGAGCAAATCAGAGAGAAAAAAGTAGGAGACTTAGGCTAGTCTGACAAGCTTCCAGGACAGATCACAAACACAAAAGTCTCACTACCTTTTCAGTGGTGCAGAAATACTAAACTCACTTTATGGGATTACAGAGAGAGAAAATGCATCTCAGTGTATACTAGATTTTACTTGCTCTTCATGTCACATCACAGATGTGGGTGTTAACATTAACAAAGGCACTAGACCCTAGGAATATACATTATCCACAACAGAAGCTGAAGAGTTCACAAGAAAAACTATGGGTTAAAAGTTTGCTATTCCTAAGATTTCTAAAATAAAACTTTCATTTGTAATTCACATTGCTCACAATGAAATATAGCTTAAGTGCAGCATTTAACAGAGCATTGGAATTTGAAGACATAGGTAAAATAACTGAAATTTCCCTTATATAAGCCCTACAATAGTTACAAGCCAGTATAAAAAGAGTAAAAGCTTAGCACCCAGGAGAAATATGTAATATTTTAAGATTACATACTAAGTGCTGAACCTTCAGGGCTCATATTTTCAGCATTAATTTTATTGTGGTACTAAGGATAGAATCCAGGGCTTCTCATATTTTAGGTACTAGGGATGGTAGGAGGTAGGGAAGGAATGGTGGTAAGATGTAGGCTGCATTACTAGATTAAAGGCTAAATAGCTGTCAGATTACATAGCCGATAAATGGTAGCTATAAAAGATAAATGTTTTATGCAAATTAATGGAATTCTGTAGTTTTATTTTTAATGCACATTAGGCAGACACTTCCACTAAGTTATACTCTATCACCAGTAGTTTTTTATCTAAAACAAGACATTTGATACTGAATTTTTTTGTGTATGTGTCAGTCCTGGGGCTTTACACTCTCTTCACTTGCTTGCTCATAGAAGGTGCTCTTTCTTTGAAACATACCTCCAGCCTGGCATTTGGCTAGTTAATTGAAGGTGGGAGTCTCTGACTTTTGTCTGACTGGCAACAAACTCCAATCTTCTGATTTTAGCCTCCAGAGTAGCTAGGATTACAAGTGTGAGCCACTGACACCCAACTTCATGCTAATTTTTTTAAATAGAAATCATATTTTAGCCGGTCACCAAAAAAAAAAAGAAGAAAAAGTCATAAAGGAATGTAATTTGACCTGGTCTTACTCTGATCTGCCCAGAGTTAGCTGAATATCACCACCAACAACAGTAATGCTGTTCTACTTATATTTTAGGTACTCATTTTTTTGCGTGTCAGTTGTGCCTGTGCACATTCCTGAGCTGCTTTTTGCTCAAGCTAGTGCTCTACAACTTAAGCCACCAGCACTTCTGGCTTTTTTTGGTAGTTTATTGGAAGAGTCTCAAGGACTTTTCTGCCTAGGCTGGCTTCAAACTGCTAACCTCAGATCTCAGCCTCTTCTGAGTACCTAAGGTTATAGGCATGAGCCACTGGTACCTGGCTATAGATGCTTTTATCTTTATTTTATACATGAAGAGCCAAAGAGAGAGTTGGGAATGTGGCTTAATGGTAGAGTGCTTGCCTAGTATGCATGAAGCCCTGGGTTTGATCTCTCAGCACCACATACACAGAAAAAGCCAGAAGTGATGCTGTGGCTCAAGAGGTAGAGTGCTAGCCTTGAGCAAAATAAGCTCGGGGACAGTGCCCAGGCCCCTGAGTTCAAGCCCCAGAACTGGCAGGAAAAATAAGGAGGAGGAGGAGGGGAGGGGGAGGGGGAGGAGGAAGGAGAACTAAGGAGAGAACAGTAACTTGCCCCAGAGGTCACCCAAATGGTAAGAAACAGCTATTGTTTCAACCAGCATATTGGCCACGAAGGTCTAGGTCCTTCATTACCTTGCTATACCACCTCTTACCATTTTTACGTCTAAAATCCTAAGGAGGATGTGATTGTGGATAATATAAAGGTAGGAATTCACAATTAATCTTATGGTAAGAGGAATGGAAGCCATTTTGATTTAAGGTTATGGCAGTTCAGAGACAGCAGGGAAAATCGGGATATGTTTCCAAGGCATACTAACCAGGTAGGTTTGTAAGATTCAGTTGCAGATAACAGTGCAATGAGCAAATTCACACCTTTGGGAGACAACAACTATTACAGAACACTTAAAATATGGATTTCATTGATGCTTACTTCTGAGTATCAGCTACATTTGTGGGCAGGCAGGCGGGGAGCGAGAGAGGGGGTTGAGCAGATTACTAACTTCTGAGTAGGCAGCCATAATCATTCTCCCCTATAATTTGTTAACCTACATACACACTAGGCACATACCTTGAACTGAGCCTCTGGTGGTCCAGTGATAATCACCATTCTCACCTTAGCATCTGGTGCTTCAGCTGGAGCAATCTATAACAGACCCATCACCAACCAGTTAGACTTTTCAGAAGTAACTGACAGAAACTGTAGGCCAACCAGATTGACATGTACCTGACTGACTAAAATGCACAACTGAAATCCTGACAGCTGGAAATTATGCAGAAGGCAATGCTTAATGTGGTTTAATCACTTAGGGCTTCCATTATACAGTATGTACATACACTGCCTAAAGCTAACCCTCCTGGCATCCTCATGAGTTACCTCTACTTTATAGATGAGGAAATGCAAGGCTGGAGAACTAGACTAGTGAGAGAGCTTCTGCCCCAGAAATGCCTGTCCTAGAATACTCCAGGGAACTCTGCACACCATTGCTAGACTACTGCACCCCAGTCTTCTCTAACTTTCAAAGGAAGGGACATGTTAATAGTTAAGATTATAGAATTGTTTTTTCTTAATTTATAAAGCACATTCTGGATTTCTGGACTTAGAAAATTATCTGCAAGTACACTAATGGACATAACATGCCAAATGAAATTAATATTAACTGTGCCAGGAGGAAGGAGAAGTCAGACTTTCCTGTTTTCTCAGCATATATAAAATCACATATAAAGGCTAGGCTTGGGAAATGGTACTGAAACAAGCATTCCTATAGAGTTTGGAAGAAACTACTTAGGGACTCGGGTGATTGGTGTTACTTTAAAATAAGAATTGATAAGATATTTACTATACAAAATAATTGCAGACAAGATGGTATGTATATGTGCATTTGCACCAACACAGCAGTACTGAGGCCTGGGCACTGTCCCTTAGATTTTTTGGTCAAAATAAATGCTGTACTACTTGAGTCACAGCTACAACTCTGACTTTCTGTTGGTTAATTGGAGATTATAAGTCTTAGGTACTTCTCTGCTCAAAGTGGCTTCAAATAGTGATATTAGATCTTGGCCTCCTTAAGTAGGTAGGATTACAGGCCTGAGCCACTGGTGCCCAGCTTGTTTTAAGATTTTGTTTTTTCAGCCCAGGCTAGCCTCTAACACACTGATTCTCCTCTCTTGACCTTCTGAATGCTGGAATTGCAGCCTTGTGCCAGACATGTCCAGCTTCTTACTATGTAAAACAAACCAAAACATCATTTCTATGTAAGAACAGGAAGAAGAAAATGTCACCTGAAGCCAGGCAATGATAGCTCACCTTGGTAATCCTAGATACTCAGGAGGCAAAAATCTGAGGATTATGGCTTGAGGCCAGCTCAGGCAGGAAAGTCTAAGACTCTTATTTCAATTAGCCACCAGAAAACCTGAAGTGGAGCTGTGGCTCAAAGTGGTAGAGTGCTAGCCTGGAGCAAAAAAGCTCAGGGAAAGTGCCAGGCCCTGAGTTCAAGCCTCATAACTGACCAAAAAAGTCACCTCAAATTCCACCTTTGAAAATGACAACTGCCAATTATTTCAGAGTCTTCTAAGACCTTTCCCACATATTTTCATTTTTTTAAAAAAAAGTATTTTTAATGAAAATCTGCTTTCTTCCTCCAAAACTGGCATGCAGGGCACTGACTTTGCAGGGCTTTGAGTGTATAAAACCAGCAATAATTGCTATCAGTCCAAGCTCTTACTATTATTCACAGGAAACCACTGTAAAGAAGATACTATTCTACAACTTTACATCCAGTTTTTGTCTTTTGTTTTTAAATTACCTTTTGTAAATACTGATGATCAAAGATGATCAAAGTGCTAAGAGCACTTGTACATTTATATAAGATAGCTGCCTATCAGCTCCCAAAACCTGAAAAAAAGCACATGTTCTACTTCTATAGGCATATGTATAGGTTTAGGTTATAATATTAACTATAACCTTACTCATGGCACCATTTATGCAGAATTTAGGAATAAGTGAACACAATGACTATGGTTTGGTAATAGCCAAACCATATATGCCTAGTAAAGCAACAAAAACACAGAAATTTACCTTTACATAAACCTATGCCAAGTATTAAGTGATTGTGAACCCTTCAGATTATGTTTCAGATGTTATGAAAACTGTCAAGAAGGCTCTACTACTTGAGCCATACTTCCAGTCCTAATATCAAATTCTTATTCATTAAATGTTCATTGCAGCTTTCCCAACATGGTTACCGTCTAGAGAATGAGTAAAATAGTGAAATCAGTTCATCACTTGGTTGTTTATGATTTTTTTTGGTTAGCCACCTATTTACTTTGGCTGAATTCATTCTTCATGGATTTTGTTGACTTGCTACAAGATTATTTAAGGGCTATTTGTGTTGTGACTTAATTACTTAATTTACGTGCAGTAAAGGTTACTTTTATATGGTCCAAATCTATGAGGTGATAAGCACATCCTGAGTTAACCACTACCTGAGTAAAAATACAGGAGTACCCCTACCTCTAAATCTCAGGAAACCTGGTATGTTATACCCCTCTCTCTCCTTCAGTTCCTAGCAACCACTGATTTCCATGCTGCCGTCTTTGCTTTCTGGACTTCGCATATAAAAGGAGTCATCTGGTGCATGGCTTTCTGAGTTTGACTTCTTTCTCTCACCACAATATGTGAATTTTCTGCCAAATTTGTTGTATCAGTAGCTGGTTTCTTTCTACTGTTCAGTAGTATTTATTATAGATGAAGCATACTTAGCCAATTCACCAGCTGAAGGATATTTGGTTTCTTATTTTGGGATAGTTATAGCAATAAACATGCTCTAAATATTTGACTACAATGATTTTTCAGTGTGTAAACCTAATTTTTCATTTTTCTCAGATAAATGTTCAGGAGTAAGGTTTATGGATTATATAGTAAATGTATCTTATGTGTGTGCACACTCTAGTGCTTAGTTTTCTTACTCATGGCTGTCATTCTACCACTTCAGCCATCCTCTAGTCTCTGTACTAGTTAATCCTTTTAAGTATTTTTGAAAAAGGTTTATGAAACATAATCCAAATAAAAAACTATATATGCTTGTTCGCCTGAAAAAACTGTGGCTATATCAAGCCTCTGTCTACCTTTTTCAGAAAGCATATTGTTTAATATTAAATTCCCTGAATACATCCAAATACAGTCTTTGAACAGAATCTGTGTTCAGACAGCATCAGGTATCCTAACACTGGTTATCTGTATTAGCTAACACAGATTAGCTTTCCCTGTCTCATTATCTTTGTCTAATTTCTGAGAGAGTGGAAAATAAGTTGAAATGTGCCATAGCAGTTAAAGGAGACTTGCCTATGAGAAAGGATCATATGTCCTCATCTCCCCTACTGGCTGGACAACAGATTATCAGAACAATGAATTATATCATCTGGGACCATAAAGGGTCACACCTGGGGACAGATGATGAGCTAGAGGGAAATAGTAAGTCCAAAGTCTTGGTGGGGCAGAATTTTCCTTTCGTTCTGCACTGCCAGACAGATTTTTCTGGAGAGAAAAGTTAACTCACCTTGTTAAAGCCACAGTTGTTGGGGTTCTCTGTCATAACCTATGTAATCCAAGACAGCCTGCTACTTTCAATTGAAATTATCAAGTGGATAGAAGACTCATCTCTCTGAAATTTGCTTGAAGAACCAAGACAGCCATGGTTGGCAAAACAGTACCTTAATTGAAGCTCCTGCAAATCGAGAAAGCTGTTTGATGTGCTGGCCCTGCTTGCCGATAATGGCGCCGACTGATAAGGCTGGAATAAACAGGTGCACAGTCTCCGTTTCCGATTGCTGTTAGAAAAGAAAGCCAGTACATACTCACTTACAAATTTTTTGTGTTTATGTTTTGTTCTGGTACTGGGTCTTACCCTTGAGTTTTGGTGAGACAAGTTTTGATGGCTTTTGTTTTTGTTCAAAGCTAAAGTCTGCCACTTGAGCCACAGCTCCAACCTTTTTGTGGTTAATTGGAGATAAGAGTTTCATGGGCTGGGAAGGTGGCTGGCTCAGTGGTAGAGTGCTTGCCTTGCATGCATGAGGCCCTGGGTTCGACTCCTCAGCACCACGTACGCAAAAAGAAAAAAGCCGGAAGTGGGGCTGTGGCTCAAGTGGTAGAATGCTAGCCTTGAGCTGAAGAGTTGAGGGACAGTGCCCAGGCCCAGAGTTCAGGCCCCACGACCGCCCTCCCATCCCCCCCCCCCCCCCAAAAAAAAGAGTTTCATAGACTTTTCTGCTTTGGCTGGCTGTGAACCATGATTCTCAGCTCTAGTCTGGACCTGGATAGTTAAGATTATAGGCCTGAGCCACCAGTGTCAAGACAAGTTTATTTTTCTTTTTGTTCTTTTTAAATCATCACCTTTAGGATAAGCACATTCTCATTAGCAGTATCATCAGAAACACTACAGTACGTTCACAAGAGTTTGCCTAGGAAGTCAAGGGGGTATTGTGCATCCATATTCTGAAAGGAATTTGTGTTTTAATTTCATTTTCATAATTTTCTCAAGTTTCAAAATGCCACTCAATATATAGATGTGAGAGATACATTAACTGCATTAACAACTAGTATCTCCTAACCACTAAATATTCAAGGTAGTTTCTTGATGAGTAAATGAAATTATGGGCTAACATAACAAAAACAGCAGCATTCAAAGACACTATCTCCATCCCTTAATATATGTAGGTTTTACTTTTGGATTTTATTTTGTTTTGTGTCAATCCTGAGGCTTGAACTCAAGGCCTGAGCACTGTCTGAGCTTTTTTTACCCCCATCAAGTCTAGTGCTTTACTACTCGAGCCACAACATTTCTTCCAGTGTTTTTGGTAGTTAATTAGATATAATAGTCCCACAGGCTTTCCAGTCCATGATGACTTTGAACCACGATCCTCAGATCCCAACCTCCTAAGTAGCTAGGATTGCAGGCATGCATTATCAGTGCCTAGCTTAACTTTTGGGTGTCTGTTGGTTTTGGCAGTACTGTGGTTTGAACTCAAGACTTTGCATTTGTCAGGTGCTCTACTGCTTGAGCTACATCCTCTTCCTCCTCACTAAACTATCAACCTGTGACAAGGGCCTGTCCTTCCTGGTCTAACCAAATCATTTCTCGTACGTATCCATTAATGTAAGACGCCAAATAAAAGTATTTTATTCTTCAGTGCTTCCAAGTCATAGGAAGAGTGAGTGCCTCTCTGGAAGGAATTACACTGCAATGTCTTATATGTACCATGAACTTCTTAAGGCTTTTCTTTCTTCTTTCTTTCTTCCTTCCTTCCTTCCTTTTTTCTTAAGGTTTTTCTTGTTTTAAACCCAATAAGCCAATTGATTCAATGCTGGCATTGACTATGAAGTGTGCTCAGTGTCATCTGATCCTTTATCAAGCATGTTAATGCTAATTTTTTAAAAGTAATTTCTAATATTTTACTAAAAAACAACCATATTGTGTTCTCACTAAATATAAACAATAAAGATTTTTTGTTGTCAGCTTGGGAATAAATTTCTTTTAAATGGTTGGATTAAATCTAAACTGTAATTAGCCCACATCTACCCCAATTACTTCACTGTGACTATTGTACTGCTTGTTTCTTGGGCCTCATTCCAGAATTTCATGCTGTTTATAAAGCAAGTTGAAAGATAAAAGCAATGGCCAGTGAAGAAATAAGAGCATAAGGATCTGAACAGTAACATAAGGCAAAGCCAAAATCTGTTAACATACATAGATCTTTAAGCTTTCTAACAGCTAACTTAAAAATAAATCAGTGGCAGGATTCACCAGTTCTATAAGGAAAAGCTATTTGTTTGCTTAAAAACTCCTTTTTCTGATGAAGATCCCAGAGAGCAACTTGTAAATATCTTTGGGACAGAAATTTAACAGCCATCATCCTCCACATAATTCTTGGGAGTAAAGTCGTAGCCTCAAAAGCACAGCCATAGCACATGTGTTAGCCTAGAACATAACAGAGATGGCTACCACGAGGCCTCAAAAGCTGAACAAAAAATAAATTTTCTGACATGGTAATGAAAGTCTATCATATTTTTGCTAACTTGCAGGGCACAAAGATGAAAGGTGAGGAATCCAATAAAAGATATGGGCTGGGAAGGTGGCTCAGTGGTAGAGTGCTTACCTCGCATGCATGAGGCCCTGGGTTCAATTCCTCAGCACCACATAAGCAGAAAAAAGCCGGAAGTGGCACTGTGGCTCAAGTGGTAGGCAGAGAACCACAAGCTAAGAGGCAAAGTTTAGGAAGGTGAGGCTTAGGGCTACCCTGGGCAAAATGAGGTTCATGAGGCTCAGTGAGCATCTGAGGCAGAAGTAGGAGGACTAAAGTCCAGGCCAATTAGGCATAAAGCAAGACTCTGCCTTGAAAATAGCCCGTGCAAAAGGGGTTGGAGGTTTGGCTCAAATGGAAGGGTCCTGAGTTCAATTTCCAGTACTGCCAAAAACTGATGGTTCATGCCACTAATCCTAGCTTCTTAGGAGGCCGAAATCTGGAGGATTGCAATTAAAGCTAGCTCTGGCAGAAAAGTTCCCCGCCCCCCAAGGTCCTATCTCCAAAATGGCCAGCAAAATCGGGGCTGGAGGAGAGGAGTATGTGGCTTAAAGGATAGAAATCTGGCCTCATGAATGCCAAGGCCCTAAAATCCAAATCCAGTTCTACTCTTCCCTTCCCCCCTCCAAAAAAAAAAAAAAAAAAAATGAAGGGTTGGAAAAGGAATGGTAGTCAAAGGACCAAAATATTAGCTGAAAGGGTAAATTGCTGTACAGAACTAATATACCGACTTAAAAATTCCCCCATGATAGCATGAGGACAGAGCAACAGGACCTGTCAAATAAGGCGAAGTAGAAGTAAACCTAGTGTTCCCTGCACTGAGGGGTACTGCTCCAGATTGAAGAGCAGTCATGCTCATATAGAGTATCTTAAAGTGACTCATCAGGTGATTCAGAAGACATTGCTGAGCATCAACCAATTCCCTCTGTTCCAATTTCATATGTACCAGGCATCTGTCGGGCCACAGATGGTTTTGCAAATAAATTTTCCTCTGAGGTTACAAAACAGTTCATATAAAAATCCTGTTCTAGCCGGGCGCCGGTGGCTCACGCCTGTAATCCTAGCTACTCAGGAGGCTGAGATCTGAGGATCGCGGTTCAGAGCCAGCCCGGGCAGGAGAGACCGTGAGACTCCTATCTCCAATAAACCACTAGAAAACCGGAAGTGGCGCTGTGGCTCAAGTGGTAGAGCACTCGCCTTGAGCTGAAGAGCTGAGGGAGAAGCGCCCAGGCCCAGAGTTCAAGCCCCACAACCGCGAAAAAAAAAAAAAATCCTGTTCTTACTTTTACAGACTCCTTGAACTTAAATTAATGTTCAGATTCACTGACTGAACCCTTCTTTCAAAATCCTATGCTGGCTGGGCGCCAGTGGCTCACGTCTATAATCCTAGCTACTCAGGAGGCTGAGATCTGAGGACCACAGTTCAAAGCCAGCACCGGCCGGCAGGAAAGTCCGTGAGACTCTTATCTCCAATAAACCACTAGAAAACCAGCAGTGGTGTTGTGGCTCAAGCGGTAGAATGCTCACCTTGAGCTGAAGAGCACAGGGACAGCACTCAAGCCCAGAGTTCAAACCCCATGACTGACCAAAAATTAAAAAATAAAAAATAAATCCTATGCTGTGAGAATGTAGTAGAGCCACTTTCGGAAATCACTATGGGTGTTTCTTAAAATACTTAAAATAGGACCTGCAGTGATCCAGCTAGAGTATATACTTGAAGAAATCTCAAGAGAGAAACCTGCATACCCATATTTACTGTGGCACTATTGCTAGGTTATGGAATCTAAGTGCCCACCAACAGATGACTAGAAAAAGAAAATGACTGTATATGGACACACAACAGTTTTATTCAGTCACAAAGAAGAATAAAATGTCATTTGCAGGAAAATTGTTAACAAAAATAATCCAGGCCCAGACAATACTTTTTTTTCTCTCTCTCATGAGGAATCTAGAATTTTAAGAAAAAGATATGGAAGTACAAGGGTGACTAGTGGGGACCATCAAGGGAAGTGGGCAGGTACCCAAGAGGGTTGTGGAGGGTCCATGATCAAAGTACATTATATACATATATGAAGATGTCCTGACACCTATTTTCAGTACAATTTTAAAAACAACAAAAATCTTTTCTTAATACATTCTTTAGGGTGAAGGATATTCACAGGACATAAACTGCTTTCCAGTGGGTCTCTGCCAGATTGCCTACCAGCAAAAGCTCCTTTGAGCTTCTTGGCAAACTCCATGCTATGGCTTGAAATCATAGAACAAAGCTGCAGCAGCTAAACTTGCATAACTGCTGAAGTCTGCCAACATGTAGTTCCTAGTCATGCATTGTTTAGAGATAGAAGTATGAGCCAACAGTAAGGTTAAGTGTATTTACTCTGTGGGGGAACAAAACCTAAGACATCATAAAGGCCTGGAGACCTGCATGCCAGCCAATGGGGTCAGCCTCCAGGAACATGGAAGGATGCCAGTGCTGTCTTTTTGCTTATAAAGTACATATTCAGGGTCGGGGGAGGGAGTGAGGGAGGTCATTTTGTTTTTAAATGGATTTTTTCTGGAACTGAGAGTAAACTGACTCAATTTCATGACTTGAAAAAAAAATTACTTAAGTCCTTTAAAGAAAAAAAATTAAAAGGCAAAGTAAGTTCATCCTCCAAACTCAACAATCAAGGTCTCTCTTGAGGATTTCAGTGATTTATTTACTTGGGAACTGTTTGCCAACAAAGGAACACCCACTATGAGAAATCTTA